ATTTCATTTTGGGGGGGGGGGGGGGGGGGGGGGGGGAGGTCCATGATGAGACATGTGACATTATGGGTTCTTCTGGATGACATGTTGGTCGTTGTTAGTTAGTATCACATGTGAAATCCTAATGAAGGCAACCAAGTTCTTTTCTTCTTTTTGGTGCAGTGGTTTATGAGGATCTTATGAATGACCTTTTTCGGTGATATGCAAATGTGACACACAGGCAATTGGTTTAACATGTGTTAAAGGAAACTAAGAACCTAATTTTCTACAAGGTCTACTATCTTCTTGTAGACAGATTCATAGGTTGGTGTAGTAAGTTCTCTAGGACCTTCCACCCGCACAGTACTATAATTAATTAATTTTTTTTTATCAATGTATGCTTGTTTATTTAATATAATTTTCATTTATTTCCATTTAGTCGTATATTTTTTATGAATTTCATCATTTGTCATGAATAATGGGTTCTCTACTGAATCTTTTAGAGAAGATGATTTTAGGGACCACCCTACGGGTGCTTTGCCACTAAGACTACAAACTTTCCTATTAATGTCACATCAGACACATAGCTACAGGAGACATTTTGACAGGTGTCTGTGGAGAATCACGAAGAAGTATGACTTCTTTTGGTGGGAAAATAGTAAGTATGACTTCTTTTGGTGGGCAAATAGTTCTGTAAATTCCATTTCCGATAGTGATCGGGGTTGGATGGTGTCCCTAGAGGACGACGTAGCTCGTGATATATGTCGTCAACATTTTAAAATTAATATTATCATATTTTTAATTATAATTTTAATAAGTTTTTTTTTCTTTTTTTAGCAATCTTGATACTCGTTATTAAGTTAGATGTATATCTTATTTTGTGTACTATTGTGAAGTGGGATTTTATTTTTCAAGTATCAAATATATTGTTATGACAGTTCTGTTGTAAACAATTTTACTAATTAGGGGCAGAATGATCATTTATCTAGAAACAACTATAAAATAGTTGTTTTTCAACAACACAAACTAAACAACCAACCAACTTATCTATATCAGCTGCTGCTCAACAGCTTATCTGGAGTAACTGCTTATCAACAGCTTATTAATAAGCTACAGCTGCCCTAAACAGACCCATAATTGTTTAAGAATGTTGCACATGTCAAACATATGCTTATGCTAAAAGTAAATATGTGAAAAAAGTCTGCACATGATCCAAACCTTACAAAATATAATTCTTGAATGTGAAATTTAAATGTATGTAATTATACATGCTCTCTGTCGGGCTGCTTTGCCTATAAAGCTTGGTCATAAGTCTCACACTTTGACTAATTTGATCATCTTCTTTATATAAATTATAGTCGACAAGATTGAGCCCCCACTAAGCTAGTCCAATCATCATCCTTACGAGGACTGAAGTTGATAAGACTGGTGCTTTTGATGATGTTTAAGTTATAATTAATCGCTGATGTTGGCCTTGTTGATAGTGAATCTCAGTCGGAGGGGTCTATTTTTAAAATAGAATCTCAAAATCCACTTTAGAAAATCATATAATAATACATAATATGAACTCGATCCTCTGTAAGCGAGACACAATCAGAAAGGTCTGAAGAGACCAAATCCCCGATGATGGGCATATACACTTCGTATTTTAAGGGGTTTATTTATAGAATAGAATTGTTAAATCTTAATAAAAAGAAAGAACAAAAATAAGATATTTAAATAAAATGAATAGCCTAATGTTTAAAGTAAAATACATTGCCCTCTAAAATTGTTCGTCTGGGTGGGCAAATTTAATACTGATTCGAACTCACAAAAAACTAGTAATATGAAGCGTACTACTATGTTTATGCTCAAAATAATCTCATGCTAGTAAGGATGTGACTTGAGTTCTGTCCGCAAGGTTTTGCTAGACACCACAGAGAAGCAGTTACAACCAGAGCCCTCTAATCTGGTGGTTTGCTGCCAAATGACACCATTATATTACAATCACGGTTGTAGCCCGTATGTTCCCCAGTTACAGTCTGCCCTTTTGAGAGCCTAATCATAGAGTATTTTTGATTGGGTAGAAAGCCCTCTATAATATAAGGTAGACTTAGATCAGTCCCCTTAGACAAGCATTCACCCTAGGTCTATAAGGTCCCCTTGAACACGACAATCCATAGCTATTGACAAGGACCCTTTTGTCAGGTTGGGTCAATTACCTCCCCTAAGTAGACCCGACAGCATGATAACTCAGGATGATGAAGTTATGAGATCTTGACTGGGTTTGTCATCGTTTCCCCGAACGTTGGCTTTGAGCTCACGTAATAATTTTTAAAAAAAATTTAAATTTTAAAATTTGTTGCTACTTTATGTTAAGTTTGAATACTTACTGTCTAATAACTAGCCTTAATTGAAAGTACTCTTCCATTATTGAGAGGAGCAATTAACCATAGGGACTTGCGCCTATAAGAAACCTCAGACCTTGGACCTTAAAGTCCTCACAAAAGAGGGTGAATTGTCTGGGTAATGACTTATCTAGTATCTCATATGCCATCTATAAGTTTGACCCAGAACTTAACACACTTGGGCTCTCGAGTTCAAGACCCCTTTCAAATTTTTGAAGCCTGCAAAGAGAATTTCAGACTTTCTATATATAGCTCAATTTCTGGAATGCTATATTGAGTTATTTAGAGAGTAAAATTAATTTAAAGTATACCTATTGATTGATGATCAGACATGATGGATGAACCACAAAATTGGAAAACTCCTTAGAATCTTTGAGGAAAAGAATTTTTATAGTTGGATTTAGGTACTTTCAGAGAAGAAAACGAAGAGACATCTCATGAGTAGTTCTACTTTAATGTAGTCCAACATGCCATAGATTTCATTCTAGAGTTGATTCTTCCCAACTTACTTGCTTATCAAATATAGCTGAGTACGCGGATTGAGAGAAAGCGAATTATAAATTTACTTGCTCAGGATCTGGCTCGTAAAAATTTAAGTCATTATGTAGCTCGAGCTCAAATTGTACCAAAAACTTATGGATACTTTTTTCTATCATGATTTGTATTGAAAATGACACCTAAGGGATTATCTTAACGGGATCTCACAACATTTTTGCTACCTTTATTGGCTCGTAAAAATTTAAGTCATTATTTAGCTCAAGCTCAAATTGTACCAAAAACTTATGGATTCTTTTTCTATCATGATTTGTATTGAAAATGACACCTAAGGGATTATCTTAACGGGATCTCACAACATTTTTGCTACCTTTAACAGGGTTGGTCTGACTATTATGAGAAGATAGAAGTTTCAACAGATGAGGTTGAAGCTCACCAAACTCTGAGAGACTGATGTGGGAGCTACCCAAGAGGCATTTATGCTTCGACAAATGAGTTCAATGCTCCTCCAATCCTGGGAGACTAACGTGAGAGTTACCCATGAGGCATTTACACGATAATTGCTATAGTGTGCTAAAGTGTTGAGACCCTAGCTACAGTTCCGCAGGGCTATTTTTAAAAATTCCTTTGCTTGGGCAGATCAATGTAAACAAATGAGTTCAATGCTCATCCAATCCTGGGAGACTAACGTGGGAGTTACCCATGAGGCATTTACACGATGATTGCTATAGTGTGCTAAAGTGTTGAAACCCTAGCTACAGTTCCGCGAGGCTGTTTTTAAAAATTCCTTTGCTTGGGCAGATCAATGTAGACTTTTGAGGTGCTTTCTTTCTATAAGAGGATGCAATCTTAGTTATCTAGAGCTTATATACGTGATTCTAGTGTTTTAGATCATTTTTTTTATTTTTCTATTCAGGACAGCCATCGACGTCCCAAGTCATCCCTTCTAGGGCCATTTACATAGGCAAGTGTTGTTGTGGTTGTAGTTCGTTAGAAGTGGTGATCTCCTTCTAAGGGATCGAATAGTTCATTATCGGGAGGCATTTATCTCAAATTTTTTGACTCCTCGCATCCTTCCTTTCACTGTCGCCATCATCTTTCCCTGCTGCAGCCACCTCTACACAACATATTTTACTAAATTCCTATAGTTTCGGTTGTCTCCATCGCATTCCCCTCCCTCCTATTCACTGTAGCAATTGTTCCAGTCCTTTTGTTTCGCTCCCCGCTCCCCTCCCTTGCTACCACAGCCCAAAACCCCTTTTTGATGCTGTCAGTGTGTTATTCCAGCACACCTGACATGCTTCCACCAACCCAAATAGCAAGTTGTTGTTGTTTTCAAGCAAACCACCAATCCCTCCAACCACCAATCTGCCCTCCTAAACCTGACACCGCCTCCAGAAGCTCACCCCGATGTTGTTCCCTCTCATCCCCACACCCCAGGACAACCTAATTTTGATTTCCTGTCTGTTCTAGCCATTCCCGGTTTTCTGCCGCATAGCCAGCTTGCCGCCAATTTCTGGAGCCCCTAATAGCCACTGCCACCCCTTGAGATTCACTCTAGTTTTACATCGGGTATGTTGTCATTTCTATTTCCTTCCGTGTTTTCCTATTTTGAGTTTAACAATAATATTTTATTTTTCTATTGTTGCTTAGGTTAGCTCAGATATCAATTGTCTTCCTCTCTTCCTCACGACCCAACACCACAAATAGTTGCTCTTCATCCTAGACACTTCTCCACCCATCTATCTTGAGATCCCTCTGCATACCGCTATTCTCTTTGGCCAAACCCTAAAAAACTGCAGCCCGAGCCTCCCAAACCGCCACCCTCAAACCCATATAACAACCCGAAGCTACTTTATCAACTTTCACCCTCCTAGCCACCACTTCCAACTCCAACTCCAACCCCTTCTACCACTCTCTCTCCTCATTTTTTTTTTCTAACTGAGGGAGAAAATAAAAAAAGAAAGGATATAAAATCAGGTTAAATAGAAAGAGAGATAGAGAGAGGCAAAAAATCTATATAAAAGAGAGAGAGAGAGAGATTGTGTATCTGCCTGCCTTCAAAATTTGTGCCTCATCATCATTGTCGATTCTCATATCTGAGGTATATAAGAATTCTACAACTCAGTAAAGCACCCTGTCTTTCAAAGTAAACCTTTATTAGATTGCTTTCGCTGTAGAAGTCTAGATACATTGCTGCCTGAATCAAAACATAGCTTGAGTGAAACCCACAAAGGACTATTCCATTGAATTATGTGATATTTCCCACCATTTTTATGAGTACAGGACTCGGACTACTCAAAAAGGTATGGGAGCCACAATGCCCCAAAAATAATTCAAGAAGACAATTGGACAAAGTTAGCTCAAGTGAATGAATTTCTCAAATCCAAATATCTATCTCATAATGTTCCTTACCTCCCTTGTTTGCTCCTAACAAGTTCACATAATCGACAAGGCAACGTGTCCAGGCTTGCAGCACGAGCCCTACCATAATTACCCAGCACACCGCACCTTCTCCATGCATGGAACTCAGCATATGCAACGGGATCATCGGCCACAGCCTTGACATAAGAAGCCAATTCTTCCATTGATCTGAATTTTGATCCATCTATAATTGAATTGGGTGGCACAAAATCCCATACATTGGGGGCACCAAAATAGATAGGAACTGCACCCGCATCAAGGGCATAGTACAGTTTCTCAGTCACATAACTGTCCGCTACAGTGTTCTCAATGGCAAGAACAAACTTGTAGTGTGACATGGCACAGTGAAGGTGGTCCCACCAATGAAGGCCAGAGTTACCGTTGGAGCACTCAGGGTAGAAGGACAGTGCCATGTCCAGACCTCCAACATTGTTCAAGCATTTCCCAAAGGAGTGGTGTGGAACAAGTGAGAGGAATCTGCCGGCAAGTTGATTGCGTTGGGAGAGACACCTTGAAGAAGACCAATAAACATGAGTATCCTACAAAGTAAAAAAGAAACAAGATTAAAAATAAATAATTATTTTATTAATTTACAACTTAAATTGGTATAAAAAAAAATAAACATAAGATTCAACGAAAAAGAATATAGTCTACAGGTTTTTAATTTATTTTTTATTTTTTTTATTTTTTTATTTTTGGGTTTTGTGAGTGCTCAAATCCAGCCCCTAGAGATCCTTCACATAGTTTCCAACCATTTTTTAGCACAATATAAGCCATACTTACAGGGAACTAGTATACCATAAATTTTAATAGAAAAAAGTTTACAATATCCAACACAGGCACATTTTTGTCGCTTACTTTCTCAAAAAATGTATAATTGTGGAGCATTCAGCCAATTCAAGGATGCTGTTTTCATTTCTCAAAAGAGGAAATCAAGAAGCAAAAATTCTCATGAAACTCATAAAAACTCATTCATAACTTTGATGTAATATTAATTATTATATGCTTTTATTACATGATCCCCCACTTGAACACATGAAAGGATGCAATATGATTGAAGATTAAGAGAACAGGAGCTGGAAGTATATAGCACAAGATTGAAAAAGTAGAGAATGCAACGTGGGTTAAAAACAAGTATACTTACATTCAATTTGAGGGAAGAAATATGATAGTTCCGGTTGTTGTGGAACAATGAGCCCGCATATGTTGATTGTAGATCATCATTGGCATGATAACCAATAAAAATATCTTCATAACCTGAAGGTTTCCTGCTAACCTCAAGATCCATGTAGACACGCAAAGGATCTCCCTTTCGTCTCTGCCAGAAATTAAGATCATAAATTAGGAAAAGTATAGACAAATGCAGACAATGTGTCTAACAGAATTAAACAAAGTGTAAGAGTAGTCAAAGAATTCTGTCAAAGAATTCTGATATTAAGGAAAAAGAATAATTCTAAGGTTTCCACCGGTTAGGGCTTAATCTGCTTTCATAAACCAAGTGTGAAAATAATGACCATGATTTCAGGAAGTGCTGCTCGCCCCTTTCATCAGAACTCATAAATTTTATATTGTAAACATTAACAACAGAAAACTACCACACAATTGTGTTGTAAACACTAGCAACAACATATTACCACACCTAAAGGAAAGAACTATTATATGCGCAGAGAATCGTATAAGAAATAATGGAACACTTGAGCAGTAAGATACCACACCTTGATGAAATTATTCATCTTAAAAATAAATGAACGCTAGCAAAATAAATTTTCCCATTAGCGATCAAGTTTTTCACATGCTCCACATTACTAGTACCCTAGATAAATTTTTGGAATAGACCACTTGGATCCTTGATGCGTACATAGGACTTCTCGGTTTTTTTTTAAATAACCATTAAAAGTTCTCATATAATAAGACTTGCCCACAAGAACCCTACATAAGAGAGGGAAAGGAAAGATTTTGAACATGAACCTAAGACCTATGACTTTTTAACTTTCCATCATAATTCTCCATGAAAATATATTTGCTAAAGTTGTCCTTGCAATATACCTTAGGGCTCATGCTGACAGTTTATTTATTTATTTTCTTTAAGGGGGTGGGCGGGGATGGGGATCGTTTCTTGTTAAAAGTGTTTTAGTATGGGGAGATATCTCAATATTTCAAAGAGTTAGTTTGATTCAGAGTATGAAGCTGGCCAAACATAAAAAGATATGGCATGTGCCTTGCTTCATGAACGTGAAGTCGCTATAACATAATTTAAAAAAAATGCACAAAAGAGACCAAAAGGAACAGGAAACACTGCAAAATAAAATGATAAGCAAAAATAGAGATTAAATACAAGAGAATGTGATGTAAGTCCTAAAGTTTGAGTTTTGGGTGGTGCACTATATGCCGTTGGTCAAAATATTGAAATATCAAACAAAGAAGACTTGCAACTACTTGATTGACTGCCCTATCACTCAATAAAATGTTCACCATTAGAAAAACATCTACAAAAAAAAAAAAAAAAATTAACGATCTATCATTTCTTTTTTTGGTGATTTCACGTTACTTACATTTGATAGGCTCCTCTTCAAATACTTTGGGCAAGTTTGTTTTAACATATATCCTTGGAACTGATTTCAAATAAGTGATTTCTATTTTCTTCATAAACATGCTTCTTGGAAACTCAATTCATAGTTTAGGTTGTCATGAGTTTCACAGAACACAAGCTGTTATCAAATCATAATAACAAATTGATAATTGCATATTTAAATTACCTAGCTATTTAGAGATGAGTTTCTAAAATTAACTAATGTATGAAAAATAATATAACTTAGCATCTTAAAAATAAATTCCAACAATTAGTTATATTAATTTCGTATTTAATAATTTAGAAGCTAATTATACCAATTACATATTCCACTTTTTATTATGGACTAACTAGCCCAATTAATTAATCTAATTTAACATCCTGCATTTTAATTGAAATTAATATTTCGTTTTAATACAAGTAATTAAAATAATTTATAATTCTAACAATTAATTAATTAATAATTGGCCTATTAATCAATGAACAACCAAATTAATCTAATAATTTAATCATTAACTAGGATAATGTATAATCCTAATGTTTAATTAAATTAGTTTCATTAATCCCTAGAAACCTTAACTCATTAGATTAAAAAAACTCTGATTATTTAGCTTAACTAGCGAAGTTCAATGGCTTATTAACCTAATTAAATTTACTTAAATCAACCTATGGTATTAGAATGATATAATGCCAAAATCATTCTATCAATATCTAATCTTCACAAATAATATCAACTCGATTAATTCTAGATAGAAGTTTTAGTAAGAGGAGATATTTCAATATCACGAAACACTAGGAGCATAGATTTACTAAAATGTAATTTTAAGAAAATAAAGAATAAAGAACCAAAGTGATAGGAAAGAGT